CCCCCCCCCAGTGTCCTCTTTTTTTGCTTGTGGAAATATGGTAACCCTACAGAAGAGGGGCTCGATATAAACGTGCACCAGGGTCTCTCTCATGCAGCAAAAGGGGTAAGTGTCAGGAAGGGGATGAAACAAGTCAGATACATGCCTGTGCTCACAGCTCCACGAAGGAGCCATCAATTTATATCCTCTATGGGCCAGGGGACCAGGGTGGAATACAGACTGGCCTACCAAGGCTCCTCACCATGAGCGGAGATTGGGAGGGCAGGGGGGAACATTGCCCCCAAACTGAATAGGACGCGTGGGGGATTTCTCCCTTGTAGATGGTCCTGCTTCCTCTCTGCAGAGGAACATTGGCGAGTGGGGGCGAGGGGTGATGCCAGAAGCTCTGTGCCTGCTGGGCAGTTTCCCCCACGTGGTCTGCGTAAGGGGAGGACAGGAAAGCAGCTCCTGATGATTCACTGCACAGCCCATGTGGGGAACTGACCAGCAGGCAGAGCCTGGCATTGCTACTCACCGTCCCCTCCCCATCCCTCTAGGGGGCACAAAGGAATGATTGGGGGGGCTGCTAGTCAGTTTCTCCATGTGGGCTGTGTGAGGGGAGGGCAGGGGTGCAGCAACCCTCACAGCAGAGCTCTGGCTTTCAACAAAAGTCAGGCAGCTGAGGTGCTTCCCAACTCAGGTGAGTGCTCAGCTGCTAGTCCCAGCTGTTTTCTTCTCTCCTCCCCCCCCCCCAAAAAAGAAAGGCAGACAGGACTGCCCCTGCAGGGATCCACAGGGGCCATCTCAGGCCCATCCGCAGGAACCTCCCCTATCTCCAGGTAGCTCCGCACCCCCCACCCCACTTACTACCTCCATCGCTCCTCAGCTGCTGGGGGTAGGAGTCACTATATGGGGAGCTGTCCCCCCAGCCACCCAACACCCTTGCATCCAGATCCCCCCACTCTGCCCTTCCGCACTTGAATCCCCACTAGACTCACCCCCAGCATCCAGTGCCCCTGCCCCATCAAGCCCCCACCCCCACAGACACACCTGGATCCCCTGCCAAGTCTCACCCCTGCAAATACAGAAGCCAAACTATACCTATACCACAGGTGGTAGATGGTCCTGCCACTTGGTGTTGGGGTGGAACACACTACGGTGAGGAAGTGAGGGGTATGGAGCGCAAGCGCGTACACCTGTTTCCTGAGTGCAGCTCAGAAACAAACCAGCTGCAGGTCACGCAGCCAGCTTGGGTGGTACAGGGAGGGTGGCAGGGCACACACCCAATGGGGATGTTTGGAGGGCCACAGGTGAGGGGTGGACAGGGAGCTCTCTCCCACAGGAGCCGCTCAAGCAAGACCCATGAGGAGGGAAGTAAGGCTGCCCTCGTCTCCTGGAGTATGCGCTGGGGGACACAAGGAGTGAAGAGCCCCTTGCACCTGCTGAGTACAAGGGGATTCACCCAGTCCCTCCGTTCATAGCCCAGGAGGTCTCCAATCCTGATAGTACCCACCAGGACCAATCTTCGGTGCACCAAGGGGGACTCCACCACCTGCACACTAAACTAGAGGCTGTGTAGGGGGCACAAGGCATGCCCAACGGC